GAATTCAAAAAGAGCTCTACATAGCTGTGATCATAAGCTCCCCCGCTTGTGCCTGCGGTAGAATTCAAGAAGAGCTCCACGTATCTGTGTTGCATGTTAGCTTTGTCTTTTGCCATAGCTGCCACGGCATCTTCATGAGTAGCAAACTCAACATCTGCCTCACCAGTAACTCTGCCATCAGGCCCAATTTCAATGTGTACTCTCATGGGGTTAAGAGGCGAGAAAAAATTGTAAATATCATTCTCAGTGGCTCTGTAAGGTAATCCCCTCATGTGCACACAGTGCCCTGTGGTGCTCTGAAAACTGGACCCACCATCTCCATATCTATGATCAGACATTCCTGAAAAACAGTAATTGAGGTCTCTTCCAAATCGATCAGATCCAAAGCCATACCCATCATTATAGCCACCATAATCATCATAGCCTCCATACCCTCCACCATAGGCACCGCGCCTCATCCTTTCAAACCCAGCCCCTCTGCCAATGCTATTATACCCTCTGCCAGCCCCTGGCCTATCATAGGGACCTGGCCGCTGCATAGCCATGAGCTTTCGAGGTGGGTCGTAGTGGGTTCGGACTTCAGCTCGGCTACTCTTGAAGATCTCAATGTACCTGTGCCCTATTCTTTCCTTGTGTTTCTTTAAGGCCTTTTCAGCTATCTCCTGGGAAGCAAACTGCACAAAGGCCTCCCCTGTGCTCCGCCCCTGAAAGTCCACCGGCAGTGTCATCCCATTTGGCACAATTTCCAACCCTGAAAAGAATTGAACAATCTCTTCCTTGCTACAGCCAAATGGGAGTCCTCTAAGCCGGACGAAGCCATCATTGGCAGTATCAGGACTATTCGGACCTGTATGCTTCAACACCCAATCCATTTCAACACTGTTGGACTTGAATACTTCAACATATCTGTGTCCCATGGTTTCTCTGTCCTTCTTCAAAGCCAGCTTCACTTCATCTTCGGATTCAAGTTCGACAAATGCTTCGCCACTTGGTCTGCCTTCTCTGGTGTAGATGAAACGAATACCTGATGTACCATTTTGGATTTTGCAATCGGAGAAGAAGCGCATCACTTCATCGGCTGAGCAGGACCAGGGTAGGCCCCTGACCTTCACCACGAACCCCTCCCTGCCTTCTGTGCCTAGCATCATGGTGACTGTTGGGCTCTTGGTGGCAAGATCGGCTCAATGTAATTTCGGTGTAGCTGAAAAAAGATAAAGACTATTGTCATGGAAAAATGTTCATGATACAGTAAAAGAAAGCAAACTATTAATAGAAAACTCAATTACACTGATAGCTTTTTTGTAAGACATATGTATAAACAAAAAGACTTCACCAAATTTTCAAGTCATTCATTCAACAACTATTTACTCAATACCTATTATGTGTTGGATACCATTAATGGTGGCTATTTCTGGGGGATAGGATTATGGGAGCTTTCTGTCTCAAAGAATGTTTTCTTTGGACATTTCTGTATGTTCTAAGTTTTCCACATTGACCACACATAAACATCATAGTCAGAAAATGAAAAGATATACAAATTAATGGCAACGAAATCAGTGGAAGATTATCAACAAAAGATAGCTATGTCTGATTACATAAAAATGAAAAACTTCATTACATCAAAAGTAAGATTAAACATAAAAGACAAACAATACACTTGTGATATCTACAACAAGTACATCACTATCCTTAGTATACAAAAAATAACCTCATAGAAATTAATAAAATCAGGGAAATAAAAAGGCCTAAGAGAGAAATGGGAAAAAGACATTATGGGGAACTCACGCCTTCATTTTACATTTTTCAGTTGCCAGGTCCAGAAAGTTAGCTCTGGCACACAAGGATCAATAAGCCCTGAAAGAGCTCATGGTCCTACAGGGGCACAGTACATCTTTACTAAAGACAAAAGGACAAATAAACATTATCCCTGCTATGACAGGATTCTGTGCAGGGTGAAAAGGCGTTATAAAGCAGGGACTGGCTGATCAATTCTATCGGTTGGCATAGAATGGCTAAATGAAAAGGACTAACCGGCTCAGGGATCCACAAATTTCAAAAATTATGATGGAGCATAAAATAGAAGGCGGCAAGGCAGGAGAGAAGGCTGGCTAGGTGGAGATCAGATCCCGAAGGTCTTAACTGGTAGACAAGGGGCTATGGGCCTTTTGGGAGGTTTTAAATAGGGGACTGAGGGGAGAAGAGAGAGGAAAGGGAGGTGAGGGGAGGGAAGTGAGGGGAGGGAAGTGAGGGGCGGAGAGTGAGGGGCGGAGAGTGAAGTAATCAGAACCTTTCAGAAAGATCGCCATGGCAACAGTGTAGCTCTCAAATGAGAGCCCCCCCCGCGGGGGTGGGGGGGCGGGGTGACGCTAGCAAGATCAGTTAGAACCCTGCCTCTTAAGAGATAGGTAAAGGGATTCACCTAAGACAACAGCAGTTTTTAAAAACGGGAAGAAAGGTGTGATCAATGTATTCAAAGCAGTGGACCCTGTGGGACTTCGTAACATTAAATACAGAGGCAGTACAGATGTAAGGCTACAGAAGAGGAGTCTGGGAAATGTTCAAACCTCATCAATCATCAGAAATGCAAGCTAAAACCAGAATTAATTGCCATTTTTCACCCATTAAGACAGTGAAAATTAAACAGGGAGGATAAGTCAATGCTGATATTCAGGGTCACAAACTAATACACTCCCAGAGGAGTGAAAGTTGAGATAGTATTTCTGGAAAGCAATTGGAAATATTTATCACGCCTTTTGATACAGTAAATCCACCTCCAGTTATGTGCCATAAAGAGATGATCTGAAATTCAGATGGAGATTTATAGAACTATATATTCTTTGAAAGGTATTTTATTAAGAAAGATAAAATATTACACACTATAAAAATTATAAAAATATCTAATAGCATGAGAAATTACTTATGCTATAATCTTAAGTGACCCAAGATCATAGCTATTTTATAGTCTCAACAATAAAAAAGACGTATGTTCACATATCCTTTGACCCTGCTAGAATTCCTTCCAGGAAACTGGTCAACAGAAATACTCATAAATGTTCACTGCAACACTGTTAGTAATGGCAGAAAATTAGGAACCTAATTACCCATCAACAGGGGGAAGGCTGAATGAATTATACTTTATCCTTAAAATGGAATGCCATGCAGCTGTTTGAAAAATAAAGATCTGCCCTGACCTAGATTTCCAAAATATATTAAGTGAAGGACTATGCATAGTATGATCATACTTATTTTAAAATATAAGCAGGCATGCATACATGTATGCAGATGCATAGAAGTTCTGGAAACATATAAGTTGTTTTTGAGAAAATAACTGGAGGGTAGGAAGTGTGAGGTGGATTTTCACTTTTTAACCTATACGAGTCTATATAGTTTTAATTTTTAAAAACCACTGTAACTGGAATAAAAAAAACTATGTTAGAAAAAGTACATGCGTGGGGAATTTGTCACATGTTAATAAATAGTGGTTAATTAATGAGTGGTAGTTTTATGGCTTTCTCAATTTGTTTTTCAATTTTTTGTGCATTCTTAATTTTCTATTGAGAGTGATTACTTTTATTTCAGCAAAAAATAATACATAAAACAAAATGCTTACTTTTCGGGGATTTGGTTTAGCAAATTTTATAAAATTTTCTAATTTTGTATGTGGATGGCTTATCTGACATGGTCTGGGAACACTGGGCTTCTGCGAGAGAAAGTACAAAGTGTAATAACTGCCCTAAAACTACACTGAGGATTCAAGTCAACTTTTACTAGTTGCCTATTATGTGCCTGGAGCGCTGCATCTGCAGCGATAACTGTCTCCCTATAGACCATCTTTAGGTCTGAGTGACAGATACACGCTCTGCTTTTTGCCTGCCTTATCTCTTGGATCACCCATCCCATTCAATGTCCCGGCTGCACGCTAGGCCTCCACGTCCCCTCTGTAGTGGCAGGGAGGTTCTGCTTCATGACTGTGTCTCCTGGGAAGGCCACGAGGACTCCGCTGCCTGAAGGAACCAGGATTCCATTTGTGAATTAAGAATTTGTGTATTTATGTGTGTCTTATGTACAGACTTTTTACAGACCAAAATGCTGAGTAGTTATCTCCGGGTGAGGAATTACATGTATTTTTTTTAATTTATAGTATACTGTTTTTTTGCGAATGTCCAAAATTGAACATGTAGATTGTTATGAGCAGAGAAATAAACATTATTTAAATATTTAATTCAGTAAAAACATTCATTGGGCGCCTCTGTCAGGCACGCAGCATTTGCCTAGATGTGACTCTACAGATCAAATTCGCTTGGTGCCTCCCCCTACAAACAGACAGACAATTAGGCACTGGAGACTGAGTGCCTGAATGGATGGACCTGCATTCAGACCACTGGTCTCAAGATCTGTTTTTCCTAATCCGGGGACGTGGTTTTCAAACGTTTTTCTGCTTACGGATTCTCTTAAGGGTCCTTTGAGACCCGCCCAGACAGACAGATATACAAAAACACAGACACAGTCACGAACGTCCACCATTTCCCCACCAGGCGCAGCAAAGGCGGCTTCCCGGCACTGAGAGTGGGGGGGAGGAGGGAGCGGGGGAGGGGAAAGCAGGGAACGAAAAAGGCGGAGGCGGCCCGCGGACCCCGCTTTGGCCTTCATCATCACCACCCCCGGGTCCCCGGATCCCACCCACACACCAACCTCTAACGATACCGGATAATTTTCCTCTTTCTTCCCTCAAACGGCTATAGCGAGACGGTAGACGACGACCAGAACTACTTCTGCTCACGTAAGCGATTGATCACGTGAGGATCTACGTCATGTGAGATCTCGGTCACGTGAGCGCCGCTCAGCTTTAACTGGGGATCATTAAAGTGCAGCACTTCCTTCTGTAGGAAAATAGGGCGGGTCGATATCCAGAAAGGCAGCGCGTGATTGGTGGCGGTGCGTCTTCTGTGACTGGTCATTGGTCCGCCTCTGGGGATAACCGTCCCAGTTGCCGGAGAAACAGTCGCGTCATTGCTTAATAACTCACCGGTGATTGGTGATGAGGCTGAAATCGGATTCCGCGGGCCGCCTCCGCCTTTTTAGCCCTTAAGGTTAAACTTAAAAGCTCAGGTGACTCGGGGAAACCTGTGTCGCACAGGTGACAGCGACGATGAACTTGATGAGCAGAGTCACACGGCTGGGCTGCGCGCTGGCCTTTTGCTGCCTGGCCTTGGTTCTCTGGGGCGTCCCTGGGACCCGGGCTCTGAACAACGGCTTAGCGATGACCCCTACCATGGGCTGGCTGCACTGGGAGCGCTTCATGTGCAACGTGAACTGCCAAGAAGAGCCAGATTCCTGTATCAGGTATTAAAGACATTGGGTACCCCCTTCCCTTCGCTATCCGGGTATCTGTCTAGCTGTGTTTGGAGGGATGGAGGGGCTCAGTGAGAACATTTGAGCCGGGGGAGAACTCCACTATTGCTGCTGCTTCTTTTTCACCCACAGCAAACTGCCCCAAATGGAGACTAGCCCTACATTTTCTCCATTTGACCCCTTGTGGGGTGGGAGTCCCGCCAGCCGCCCCTGCTTCTCCGTCTCTCTCTGATTGATCACCCACCTAAGGACTTTCTCCGTTTACCATCCAATTCCATTCACACCCTTATTGAGAGCTGCTGTCCCTGCCAGGTACTCGCAGTAAGGACAGCTGTGGTGAGTAGGAGAGGCAGAGGACTAAGACGCATGCCACTTCTTCTCCTTTTGGGGTCACGGGTTCCTTGGCTGTAACTTGAGGGAATTTAGAGAGAATTTAGTCTCTGAGATCTCCCCACCCAATAGCCCTTGAGTATGGCGTCTCCTTGGAAGGCTGACGTGGAGAAACTCTTATCTGTCGAAGGTGAGGGTTGAGGCTGGCTGAAACAGGTGCTGATCCTATCTGATCCATACATTCCTTATCTGTAAATCTAGATAACATCTCCTACCTAAGAGAGTCAACTCAGAGGATCTGTAAAGTAGTTCACACAGGTGGACTTTCAATGAGATAACCCATTTGAAGTACATAGCACAGTGCGGTACCAGACCCCTCAATGAGGCATAGAGAAGAAATGTTCTTAACCTGGAATTGATGGAAAAAGTAATGCATAGCTGCAAATATAAGTATGTGTGTTTTTAGGGAGGGAGGATCTTGAGCTTTGTTCAGATTCTCAAAGGGATTTGTGATCTAGAAAGGTTAGGAATCGCCGATAGATGTTGTTAAAAAAAAACAGTAAAGATACCCTTGGTGCAGAGGCCCCTCCATAAGCCTTGGTCATGTTACACCCCAGTGGTCATAAGTTATTCCTATTAGTGTCTTTACAGGTGAAGTCAGAGTGTTGGTCAAACATGACAATTAATTGGCCTTCTAAGTTTCAGACTAAATCCATCGTGACCCTAGGGTAAATTGTGCCCATCACATATTTCTTTTTTTGTCTTTTCCTTTTTTTCTAAGTGGTGGTTATCTTATTTTTGTACCTGATTATTAAAAATGCATGATCATGGCAAAAAATATAGATAGTAAAGAAGGGTATAATGAAAATAAAGATTTACAACCTTGCCAATTTTTCTGTGTAAATACAAACACAAATTTCTTTTAAAAATTATTTTCAGTAAAAATGAGATCATGTTTATATCATGAGCAGTTAACCACAAGACTCTGTTGTCTGCCCAGGTTCAAATTCTAGTGAAGTATGACTTAGCCAGGTGACCTTCAGCAAATTAATTACCCTTTCTAAATGTAAATAGAGTGATTGCCTGGCACAGAATAAGAGCTTCATAAATGCTAATTGTATGTATATACCATAATTTATTTAAGCAATCTCCTGTTGAAAGCTGTTCAGGCTCTTCAATTTTTCTTTATTATGACCAAAGCTCCACTCACCCCACTTGTACATCATCCGATTCTTTCCTTAAAAGTCTAATTACTAGATCCAAATGTATGCTCATTCTGTTTCTTCTCAAACTATCCTCCCCAAAAGTATTATAAATGCACCTTCCCAACAACAGTGTATGAAGAATTCCTGTTTCCCCACAGCCTGGCCAACAGTGCTTTTTTGTCATTCTTTTAAATTTTGCCAGTCTGGTAGGTGTTTTTATTGTCATGTGTTTGATTCCTGATACACTTGAACATCTTTTTGTATGTTAAATTGGCTCTTTGCATGGTTTCTGTTATGGACTGCTTGTTTGTTAGTTCCCTGTTTTTCAACTGGAATGTGGGCTGGGGGTTGTTTTACTTGTTTTTATTTTATTGTATGTTGTGAATACAGTGGTTCTTTGGGGATTTGTTCAGGGTCTTATTAAATGTATAAAGGTGTATAGGGAGAATTAGCTGCTTTTTAATATTGCGTTTTCCTAATCGAGGGCAAAATAATGTCTGTCCACTTAAATAATTTGGAAACAGCATCATTTTATTCATATGAACCCTGCACATATCTTAAAGTTGTTTCCAGGTATTCTAGGTTTTGTCTGTTACTTTTTTGGTTGCTCTTGTGAATGGTCTTTTTCTCTGAATAGGTTACTGTGGATATCTAAGGAAGCTGTTGATTATGTTAACTTGGTAGCTTTTTACTTTACTGTACTTTCTTCTTAGTTCTAATAGCCTTTTCCATTTCATGTATTTCTCATTCATATTTTAATTGTTTGGGGCCCGTAGGGTGGTATTATTAAGAGGGGAGAGGAGGGAGAAGAAACATGGCCCAATCCGTGTTACCTTGCATTGGTTGTGGTTACTACCAAACTATTACTGGGTTGAGAAATAAATTGTAAAACCCCGAGATGTCTAACAAATAGGAGTACTCAAGTATTTGTTTAATGAATTGTAACGATTCTTGGGATTTCTCTTTCAGCGAGAAGCTTTTCCTGCAGATGGCTGAGCTCATGGTCTCAGATGGCTGGAAGGATGCGGGTTATCAGTACCTCTGCATTGATGACTGTTGGATGGCTCCTCAGAGAGATTCAAAAGGCAGACTTCAGGCAGACTCTAACCGCTTTCCTAATGGGATCCGCCATCTAGCTGATTTTGTGAGTTTATAGATAGTTCTCTTTTTCTTTCAGGAAACTGTAAGCACTTCTGTACCTAAGCTTGCTCAAAAACATTTAGAAACTAAAATAGCTGCTGTTACCTGAGTATTGAATTGTAAGGCTTATCAGATAGAATGTTCATCCCATCAGCACATCTATATTTTGCAATAGCTCTTGAGGCCCATCTTGGAGAAGTTCTCCTTTTGCTGAAACCACTAAATTCTCTAGGAGGAAAAAGGAACTTGGTTCTTGACATATGTGCACATATTTTTATATAAGCTTTGAGCAATTATTGTAATTGTGCTATAAACTAGAATTTTAGAAGGTAAAAGGAATATATTCTGGGGATTATTAAACAGTAATAGAGCTGGACAGTAGTTAAAGGCAGTGAAGACAGAAACTGAATAAAATTCAGTGCTATTGTATTAGGGGAAAGAGACAAGCACAATTCCAAATTCACCAAAGACAAGTGGGGTTTTATAGCCAATGGGTAGATTGTGAGGATCAACGGATGGAAAATTACTAGAAGGGACTAAGAGGAGGCATATTCTTGCTAAGGGCAGGCCCTGGGGTTAGACATCAAGGGTGGGTCATAAGGAGTTTGATCAGATTTTGAGGGTAGGGGGATAATTTAGCAGGATTCTTGCTGAAACTAGGCAAGGAAGGCCAAAGTAGAGGCCTACTTGAGAAGAGGGCTCAGAGGGATCTAAGGTTTAGTTAAGGAGAGCATCTTTGTCCAGATATATCTATATCTATCATTGCCCTGAAAAGGTAACTCTAAGGATCCCATCAGAAGAAGATTAGAGCCATGGACAGGGAACTTCAGTTCTGTGCTGTAATTACATGTACAGTTTGAACTCAGCAGAATTGGAGGCTTTGCTCTTTATCTCCCAACAAAGTCATCTGGACAATTTTCGGAACTTGGCGGTGGGGTGGGGGGAAGTACTGGTGAAGTGTACTGGTCTCTGCCTCCAGCCTGGAGTGGTTCTCTCTTTCTACTTCATGATTGCCCTTCTATTGAGGTAACTCTTTTTTTCTCATTTCAGGTCCATAGCAAAGGACTGAAGCTAGGGATTTATGCAGATGCCGGAAATAAAACCTGCGCAGGCTACCCTGGAAGTTATGGATACTATGACATTGATGCCAAGACCTTTGCTGACTGGGGAGTAGATCTGCTAAAATTTGATGGTTGTTACTGTGACAGTGTAAAACATTTGGCAGATGGTAGGTTTCATTCAAAAAATTTAGCCATGAGCAAAGGGCAGAACTTTTGAGGCCAAGGTAGCTGAGCATCCGAAGAACTAATCCTCACATTTGAAATACCCAGTCACAATACTGGAAATAATAATTACTCTTAATGTGCCAGAGCTCCTGCCTCTTCTCTTTTTTTTCAGTTTCTCCATGCATTTATTCATTCAGGCATGTAAAATCCGTGTATGCCTAACCAAAACTAATACTGTGGACTTTCAATTCAAGAGGGCTCTGAGTTACTTACAGATAGTAATTGTAACTCTCCATCCATCACTTGGAAAAGCCTCCAGAATGTCAGTCACAGAGAAAAGAGCATCTTCTTTCCTACCTTTCCTCAATATGTGCACTATCCCGCACTGTCCTCAGAACAATCCCACAGTCTGGGCGGTACTAGATACAACGTAAGCACAGAGCAGTCACTTGTCTCTGCTGCTGGTTTAAAATATAAACATGCCCCTTCCACGTAGCCTATTTTTAAAATATACAGCCCCAGCTGGAAATTCCCTTCTTTTCATTATTTTACACGTTGTTTTCTCATACAGGTTATAAGCAAATGTCCTTGGCCCTGAACAGGACTGGCAGAAGCATTGTGTACTCCTGTGAGTGGCCCCTTTATGCATGGCCCTTTGTTAAGGTGAGCTAGTGAGCCCAGAATCCACCAGAGCCTTGCCGATAGATTTTTAGAACTTGACAACAAAGGAGACAAAGGTCCCTGTCAAAGTTAAACCCTAGTTAACAGTCTCATCCTAACATCTCTCCTGGGATCCACCTACTTCTCACAACCCCACTGCTGTAATTGAAGTCTAAGCTGCCATCAACTGGGAAGCCAGGCATCTTTGATCCTTTCTTTTGTCTCATGGTTCACAACCTATCCATCAGCAGTCCTCTCAGTACAAAATATATCCTGAATCAGCCTACTTCATTCTTTTATCGTGTTAACCTGTTCAGTTTCCTTCTAAGAGCTTAGCACTATGTGCAATTATTTGTTGACTTGCTTACTGTCTGTCTCCTCCATTAGAATGTAAGCTCCAGGAGGGCAGGGACCTTGTCTGACTTTATCACTGTATCCCTTCAATGTGGTAAGTGTTGAGTAATTGTTTATAGAATGAATCCCTGTTGTTTCCTTCTAATCTGCAAAATTCTCTCACCTCTGTCTCAACATCTTAAACGTCAGATATCCCACCTGCCTATGTACAAGCTTTTATTCATTCCTTTAACAGATTGTATGCCTAGGGTTCAAATTGCTTAATATGCTTGCCAAGTCCTGTGTCATTTGCAGCTTTTGCTTTTACTTATTAAAATCATCTTAGTTATTTCTTTTTCCATTGAAGTGTAGTTGATTTACAATATTACATTAGGAGATCATTCTGTTTATTTCTAATTATCAAAGTAATACATGTTCCTTTTGGAAAAGTTTGAAATATAGTGAAGTGTGGAAAAACTAAAATCTTCCATAATCCCAATACAGTAGTCGCCCCAATCCACGGTACTACTTTCCACAGCTTCAGTTACCCCTGGTCAACTGCAGTCCAAAAATATTAAATGGAAAATTCCAGAAATAAACAATTTATAAGTTTTTATACTGCACCCTCTTCTAAGTAACATGATAAAATCTCATGCCATCCACTCCATCCTGCCCAGGACATGAATCATCTTTTTGTCCAGCTTATCCACGCTGTGGATGCTACCGACCCATTAGTACCTGTATAAGAAAAAATATAGTATAGATAGAGTTTGGTACTGTTAGTTGTTTCAGGCATCCACTGGGAGTCTTGGAATGTATCCCCTGTGATAAGGGGGGACTACTGTACCTAGTTACCATTTGGTAAATTTCCAGCCAAAACAGTGTTAAAGCCATTTTAAGTTATATGGCTACTTCTGAAGCAAACTTCTTACAATGAAATTCCAGTCTAGAAAGTAATTAGCTCTCTTCGTGGAGACCTTTCATCTGTAAACTAAATTGAGAAGGCTACGAGTGCCTTCTTTAAACTTCACTGTTTTCATCTCACAAGAATGTTATTTGAAAGTAAACAGAAGCATTCTCTCTGTTTTTATAGCCCAATTACACAGAAATCCGACAGTACTGCAATCACTGGAGAAATTCTGCTGACATTTATGATTCTTGGCAAAGTGTAAGGAGCATCTTAGACTGGACATCTTCTAACCAGGAGTCAGTTGTTCCTGCCGCAGGACCAGGGGGTTGGAATGACCCTGATATGGTAAGAATCTGAGCCCTCCTGTTCAGGCTCCTGCAGTGGACCTGTTTCTCCCTTGACACTCCAGGTAAATTAGAAGGGAGAAGTTCCTGAGGGCAGGCTCTTTGTGAAAGTACTCAGAGCAGGGTGCCCAGGAATGTGACTTCTCTCTGTGACTGGGCAATTTTAACAATATTTTGTCTTACCTCACTTGAATTCTTACTTCATTCTTTGTTCCAGTTGGTGATTGGCAACTTTGGTCTCAGCCAGGATCAGCAAGTAACTCAGATGGCCCTCTGGGCTATCATGGCTGCTCCATTATTCATGTCCAATGACCTCCGACACATCAGCCCTGAAGCCAAAGGCCTTCTTCAGAATAAGGATGTAATTGCCATCAACCAGGACCCCTTGGGCAAGCAGGGGTACCGGCTTAGAAAGGTATGGTAAATAACATTCTATGGGAGAAAATAGGAATTGGCTAGGAACGTATTCTCCTGCCTTCTAGCTTACAGTTCATCCGGATGTATGTTTGGGGTATGTGTCTTAAGATGGCTTAATACCCAAGTACCAATTTTGTCTTGGGCCTAAATCTGTTACGTTGGAGGAAATGCACTGATCTTTTGAGCATACATTTTTTAATCTTGATATCATAATCAATACTGAGGCTCTTTTTTTTTTTTTTGCTAATTTTTCCTAGAAGTTCTCCATGGTTCTGATTATAAATAAGACTGAATTCCACAACTAGCAAGGCAGCTTATTGCCAGTTACCAAGCTATCACACCTACTTTCTTGGCTTACTTTTCAGAGTGACAACTTTGAGGTGTGGGAACGCCCTCTCTCGAACTTAGCCTGGGCTGTAGCTGTAGTAAACCTGCAGGATATTGGTGGACCTCGTTCTTATACCATCCCTATTGCTTCCCTGGGTAAAGGACTGGCCTGTAATCCTGCGTGCCTGATCACACAGCTCCTCCCTGTGAAGACAAAGCTTGGGTTTTATGAATGGACTAAAAGTTTAAAAACTCAGATAAATCCCACAGGTACTGTTTTGCTTCGGCTAGAAAGTGCAAGCAAGATTGCATCAAAAAGCTCCCTTTAAAATGTATATTTTGTTGCTGAAGTGAGTATTCCACTTTTGTCCACCTTCATCTGTTCTCTGATATCCTTGAGTAATATTTTCCATACAAGTAAAATAATAATTTACTTTCATTGCATTTCATAAGTACTGCACTTTAAAAAAGAAAATTGAAGGTTTGTGGCAACCCTACATCTATCGCAGGTCTATTGGCCCTATTTTTCCAACAGCATTTGCTCGCTTCATGTCTCTATGTCACATCTTGGTGACTCCTGTAATAGTTCAGATTTTTTCATTATCATTATATTTATCATGGTGCTCTGTGATCTTTGATGTTACTATTGCAAATAAAAATTTTTGACTCACCGATGGCTTAAGATGATGGTTAGCATTTTTAGAAATAAGGTATTTTTAAATTAAGGTGTGTACATTTTTAGATATATTTTAATAGATTACATTATCGTGTAAACTGTAAATATATATAGTGTAAATAGATTTAGACTCACTTTAATAGATTATAGTGTAAACATAAGTTTTACATGCACTGGAAAACCGCAGAATTTGTGGGAGTAACTTTATTGCGATGGACTGGAATTAAACCTGCAGCATCTCTGAGGTATGCCTGTATTGGAACTGTGTGCCAGGCCCTATTCCAGATGCATAAAGTGTAGTGACTCAGTTTTATCCTCCCAACAACCCTGACACAGGTACTTACTCACTGTTAATTGCAGCCAGGATTTAAACTCAGGTTTTTAACCCTTATACTGTCACCTACTGAGGTGCTTAGATGACACTAATTATAATTTTAGCCCAAAGGGAATATAAAAAAACTACTTCCTCACTTGAAGGGCAAAAAAAAAAAGAAACCCCAGCAGTAATAACCTTCATAAATGAAAGATTTAGAGGCAACCGAATTTTTATGGAAGAATCTTGTCAAGAAACACCCCACCACCTAGGTTCCCAAATCCGATGTTTGCAGTCTAGATCCAACAAATGCAAATAGCTTACTTTCACCAACAATAGTTGGTACATTATGACCTAAAATACCAAACCTCGGGCCAGAAGACTCCTTCCACTTTAAGAACTGCCTTCTCTCTTGAGGTCCTGTGATGCAATGAACTTCAAACTGGAGGTTATGGAGAGTCATTTTAAGGGAATTTCCGGATATTCCAATTCCTCCCTTTTCCTCCAGTTGGTTTACCTGAGGACCAACCTGCAGTTAGTGCTTCAGGCCTGCTCCTTTACCACCTCCCCTTTGACGATCACCCTTCCCCCACACAAACAAAAAAGGGTATTCATCTCACCCATCCGGGATGCACTACAGTACAAAAACGGACACAAAAAGCCTGCTCAAAATACAAAGTGCGAGTTGTAACAATTCCTTTGCCTGTCAGGTGATTATCAATTATTTTCAATAAAATCGGAGGACTAATCATTCAGTTAATAAAAAATGGAATTGGTAAACCCAGACTTAATTCATCCACAGAAACTAACTTGAAAGAAAACTATCTTATCTCGTTGAGGTGTGCTTCTAGTTACCAAAATGTGTAGCATTATCTGCTTCTCCTCGAGTTTTTTGCTGCACAACTATAAAGAGCTCAACATCAATAAAAATGAAGCATACAATAGTATACAAAGAGGAACAGGATGTAAAAATTTGCAACTCTTAGGCATTTTAAAATTGGACAGAAATCCCTCAGATTTCATTGGGGAGTTTAATTCACTAGAAATTCTGTCCTTTGCAGTTATTTGAACATGATGAAAGTAAGTCAGTTTAAAATTTGAGGAAATATATAAAAATGTTTGTTAGTAAATATCAGAATAAGTATATATATATATATATATATATATATATATATATGAAATATAAGCATAAGGACACATAAGTTCTATGCTGTGCCTAGAACTGGGTCACAATTCCTCATTCAATGATTTTAGTAAAGGGATCTGAGACTATTTCACTCCTGGTAAACCTCATATTCACTGATCTCATCCCATTGGCCCTGAATTTCAGGTCTCTATGTCCCATGGTAACCAATAACTTCTGCTTTTTAACAGCAAAAGGAATCCCAAGAAGCCCCAAGTGTTTAAAGTGCCAAATTAGACCATTAGAATATCTGATGCGAGTTCAACCAGTAGTCCACCCCTAATGAATCAAGTACCCTGAACCATCACGCATAAATTTCCCCACAAGGAGAATTTTATTGATGGTCCTAGTTTATTTCCCTCCCCAAAAAACAACTGAAACCAAATGAAGTAAACATGATCTCAAGTTTTTATTGTCTTCATAATAAAACACAAAATTTGAAGCTTAGAACTGGATCACTTGGCCCTGCAATAAAACAAACAAAAAAGGTTAAGTTTTGTATTTTGTATTCCATCAAGAACAATGTCTACTCCTGAAGGGATCACCATCCTTCTCCTCCCCTTCCTAATCATGTCAAAACCAACACCAAAAACCCCATACTTTGAGCTATGGATTTAGCTGTTTTGAGGACTCCCCCTGATCTTTTTTCCCCTCCCATCTTTTTTTTAACATTTTTTATTGATTTATAATCATTTTACAATGTTGTGTCAAATTCCAGTGTTCAGCACAATTTTCCCCTCCCATCTTGATGCCACAAAAACGAGTAGGCAGAAATATTCACCTCTCTAGGCATAATAAAGCCATACAGGAAAAAACTGCACCTTCCACCCATAATTATATACCTTTCTCTTCTTATCTCCTCCCAGCTCAAAATGTTTGCATCTCTTAATAGCCAGCATTCTCTTAGATCTGCAGTTGGGCTCAACGCATTCAAGCCTCAGCACAATCTTCTTTGTAGTTTTAGCCTGGGGAAAAGAATTAAGTCAAAGCCTTCATAAATCACTACAGAAAATCCTTCAAAAATATGGCTATGGTTGGATTAAGTACCATTCAAAGCAAAGCTCTGCGAATGATAGAGTTGTGAAAATTTGTCCTTAGCTATAGGGAGCAAGTGGGAATATGAAGAAAATTGTGATTTAATGAATAATGTACTAGCAAAGGTGGCAGGTTATCTAATTGGCATCAAGTTCTCCAATCACAGAAAACATCCTAAAGGGTTTACCAAATAGGCACTCATCATACCACCTTGACAGTGTGGGCTTTCAGCAGTTCTACAGTTAAGTATTCCAGACAACCAAAAATGAAGCAACTAGTCCATGCAACTATGAAATAAATACAACTTTTGCAATTCATTAAATAGGGTTAATAATTGTTACTTAAGATCTATTCTCTGGAGACTACCAACAATTACATCTAGATCTTACGTGCATTCAACTGTATTATTTAAGTCAGAGTACGCTCCCCACAAATAAACAATTTTTAAAGCTTGCTCCTGGTAGTCAAAATTCCATTACTGCTAGTTTGCAGTTCTCAAAAGAGCAAAAACCTAGGTACAACAATCTCCCCGGTGTCCTAAACAAGTTAGCTGAATGTGAAAAGACAATCAAGTGTTTCATTTACCACCTTGAGATCAAACCATTTATTGCATCTAAATGAACATTAAAATCATTTCTTAATACTTTCTGGAACCAAGCTGAATGAGGAACTAAGTGCCAAAAGTAATGCTGTGTTCGTGGGAATGCTATGCTCCAAAGACTGTGTACTTTCAGGAGCAGACACCTGGGGTACAACAAATTCAGCCTGAGAAAGGGGATTCAGGAGCCCAGTGGAAGATCTACATGGCCATTTTAAAGAGCTTTAAGGCTTCATGAGATAGGTAGCAGACTGACTGCAGGCTTCTGAACTGACACGCAAAATACCGTACTACAAACATGAGCTGAGGATTCACTTGGACATGACACCAGGTAAGGAACAGGGCAAAGGAAAGGATTTACTTGCGTACTTAAACTTCAGTCCTTACAATGACAAGGCACGTTCCTTAATGTTCGCCTCTTCAAAAAAGACAAAAATATATATAAAATAATAAGAGGCAGAACTGTAGACGAGAGTCAGACATGGACTGCACTCCCCGCTGCACTATCTACTAGATATGTCACTGCAGGTAATTGAAAACACCTTCCTAGAACTATGGGAACACGTACCTATACTGTAGAGATGTGTGGGCTAAAAATAAATGCAAACTCTCTGCCACAGTAAGTGGGAAGCATATCAAAGAGTGATCACTACGAACCTTCTTCCGGAAAATCGGCTTAGTCTGCCCACCATAACCACTCTGCTTTCTGTCATAACGCCGCTTTCCTGGGGGAATGAAAGTCACTTGTCAGGGTATATCAAACATAATAAATCACAACAGCCACATGGAAGTCTTCTCACGGTTTTATCTTGGGCTTTCCAGGAGAAACGTCAATGAAATGCCCAAATCGGGGAGGGAAGGGGGACAGGGCTCGTGCATTCCGCTTACTACACAAATGCCGCATTAAAACCAACCCCATACAGATCGTCTTACCCTGGGCATACAGAGAATCCTTGCCCTTCTTGTACTGCGTCACTTTGTGGGGTTGGTGCTTGCCACACTTCTTACAGAAAGTCCGACGGGTTTTTGGAACGTTCACCTGGGAAATAAATCGTTCAGAACGTGCGGTGTTATCGGACCATTGGCACAACGCCCCACCCGACCCAGCTGAAGCTAAGGCATCCCACGAGGACTCGACTCTCAAACTTCTCGCTAACACAAAACACTGACTAGAAGGTGGTCCAGCGCCATGTGCTTCAAATACTGTGGCCCCCATCGAGCCGCTAAGTGGAACGGTAACATTCACTCTACCCCCAACTAAGTCTACGTCTGATTCTATCACTTCAATTCCTGGCCCCGAATCCCGGTCCCTCTGGGCTCGATCCCGGCAATATTGAGTTTCTTTGGAACAACGAGTCCACGCAGGTGCCCGGACCCGTCCCGGACGGCATCATCAAAGGAAAGAGAAAGATTAAACTGGATGTTACCGGCCCCCTCTCCAAAGTCCTACCATGTTTGCTAGAGCGCTATCGGAACGGAAAGAAGAAAGCCGGGCCGGAAACGGAAGTATATAGGAGGTTTCTGGTCGCGCTTCCTCATGGGAGTCGGTGGGAGCGACCATAGAGTCTAAGGCTCTGTGCGCAGCGCCCTCTGGCGGCCGAGAGGACTCGATTCGGAGCCGCGAGCGCGAGCTTAAGGAAGGGAGCTGCCTGAGGCTGATCCACTCTCGTCAACTTCCTCCCGCCCCAACCCCCTAGCTCTGCAAATTTTTCACACCTCATCACTTTCGGCAGACACTGCTACGTAGCAGCGTTAAGTGCAGGAAGCAGTGCTCCTTCCAGACCCTCTGGCTTCCCTGTCCATATCCTTAAGGGAAGCCGGGACTAAGGTCAAGTGAAGGAGCCCTCCACCTCCATGTCCCATTCCTGTTCCACCTCAAGGACGCTGGGAACAACATCTTTCACAGTGAACTGCTGGTTCACCGAAGGCTTGGAGGGGACCAGTGCTCTAGTTCATCTACCACATGGCCAGTTGGTCATGGTAAATTCAATAAATGTGTTTGGCACAGTTCTAGGGGAAGGACACAGTAATCAAATAATCACGGTCATAAATACATAATTACAAAGTACTTTGTAAAAATGAACAATGATCAGCATTAAACAGCCTCCTTAAGTTGAGGGAGCAAGTTGACTGCCCTAGGTTCTGAAAAGTGAGGATGAAATTGTTCAGCTCCAGAAATAGCAATAATCAAGCCAAGAGCCAGAAAGTATCCAGCAGCTCTTCCCTTCACTGCATACCTGGCAGAAGGCACATGATAGGTTTCAAGAGTGTCCAGCAGAGAAAGAAAGACTGCAGGATACTGAGCATTTTAAATGGATTGTCTCATAAAATTCTCACAGTAATTCTAGGAGGTAGGTGATACTATTATTCCCACTTTACAGATGAGGTAAATTGAGACTGTAAGATATTAGATGATTTGCCCAATGTTGATAGTATTTGGAGGAACCAAGATACAAACACAGGTGATCTGCCACCAGAGCTTGGATTCCTTTACCATTATTCAATATGGCTGTTGTGGCCTGGTAATTATTACAGCTAACAATTATTGAACACTTATTATGTGCCAGGTATTTTCTGAACTACCTTACATACTATCTCTTTCAATTCTAACAACCCAGGTGGTATGTACTATTAGTAATGTTTAACAGATAAGAAAACTGAGACACAAGAGACATGAAATTCACTTACCCAAAGTCACACCAGTGGCTATTTTGTGGAGCTGTAATTTGATCCCAGGTAGTCTAACACCACAGCCCTGCACTTAACCACAACATCACACAGCGGAAGCAGGAGTGTCTGCAGGGCAGAAAATAATGAGGAGAGAGAGTTGAGCAAGGACACAGGAAGAAATGTCAGTGGATTAGGGGCTAAGGAACTCTGAAAGCCTGGGGTCTCCTGCTTGCATAACTCTCCAGGAACACCCATGGGTTCAGAGCTGACTCTCTCATCATCCTCATTTTGTTGGATAGTCTCCTGGAATGAGATAATAAAAACATGACCACCGCCTGCTACATTTCCTAAAAGTTTCTTTGCCAAACAGCCTGCCTGTAGACTCACAGCATTTCCTTCTTCTCTCTAGGCTCTTATGCAGTCTCACTGGCCTTTGAGGAGTTTCTAGAGGTTTTTGATGTTAGTAACATGGAAATATGAAGACAGTGAACATGGTACTTCTACGTCTAATCAACCGTATTTCTTTCTGTCACACCTTGGGTAGCCTGGCTTTGGTTTAGTTTCCTTTCACCTATCCTGGTCTCTGTTTTGGACACACTCCTGCTCATTGATCTCCCCTAAGATGAGGCACTCATAATTGAACACAGGACTCTATTGCAGCCTGGTCTTGCAGAGTACGTGATCTGTTCACTTTCCTCTGTTGAGATATTGGCACTATTTGGGTACGGTCCTTCTGTCATCCAGACAAGCATGTTAGAGGAGTGCGCATGGGCAGAGGGTGAAGAAGTGCCTAGTTTTATCCCCCTCATCCTGCTCTCCCTTGTCGAGATCCCCATATCAATGCCCAGTCTCCACCACAAGAAGGACTTTGAGAAGGGACAGGGCATGTGACAACACATAGCATCTGACTGAAGAAAAGGGGAGGGAAGGCCAATGTCTGTGACCAACTTTCAGGCAGGCAACTGGAGCAGCTCTTCAGGGGTGACTAGTGAAAAGATATAAACTGTCAATAAAATAGGGAAATCATGTAACACTTGCTTCTCCTTTATCTTGTGCAGATGTGCTGGTTAACTATTCTACTATCCTACAAATACTTTTTTTAAGTCCTGTTCCCTTAAAAATTCTGACGGACTCCTGCTAGTGGGATTTATGATGTTTCTACATTAGGGCACAGCGCCTGAGGCAAGTCAATATGGCAGTGCTTGAGGTGTCAAGATCGACATGCAGCTCAGTCACCAGAGGCTCTGCCACCATCCCAATCTACGGCCAGTACTGCCTGCATTTCCTAGGAGAATCCTCCAGAAGTTTGTTGCTAGAACATAGGCTAGGAGGTGGCTGAGGAAACATTCAGCCTTCAAGTAAGACATCTAGCCTGATTTATTGCTTTACAGGATTAAAGAGAAAAGTGTAAACTAAGAGTTAATCCCTGAGGCTGAATCTAAAATGGAGAAAATCAACATCTACAGAAAATAGGAAGGGCACAAGGCGGTGTGTGGGCTTACATTCGGACATTTTTATCTGCAGGAAAAAAGTGCTTTCTTAGAAAATGACTCAGCAGGGGGAAGTCTTGTCTCTACCTCTATCAGGATCTATACTTTGGGGTCCCTTTGCGAGCATGAGCCATCCTTCACCATCAAGTTTAACTGTGTGGCTTTGAGTCTCTGCCTTAGAGGACATGAGACACTAAAGACGCCCTTCCTCCTCAGTCCCTTTGTTTTGTCTCCACAGGTCTGCATTTCTCCTCTTTTCTGTCTGTCTCCACTCCCTGTGCTGACCACCCCCACAGTCCTTTAGCGAAGTCATCCCTTCACCTCAGGGAGGTCGGCCTGAGGACCTGTCGGCTCAATCCAGCCCTGCCTCGAGTTTCAGTGGCCCCAGTAATGTTGAGAAGGGTTCTTTCAGAGCAGACTCAAGATAGCAGTGTCAGAGGTCCCAAGCAAATGAAGGGCGGGGACAGCTGGGGGGCGGGGGGCAGAATAGGGACAGCAGCAGGGAACCAGATACCATGCTGCAGAGAAGAAGAAAAAAAAGACATTGGTTTAAGTCAGGAAACAAAAAAAGGGAACTGAGTGGCTGTGAAAGGGTGGGGTTTGCTCAGACTGTCCTTCCTCTCTGGACTGTAAGAATATGTCTCCAGGGCCAGTGTCTTCTGAGATCGAGTCCCACCTTCAAAGTCCTGGCATCTCAATGCATCTGGGAAGCTACCTGCATTAAAGTCAGGACTGAGGTGGGTCTGGGGCATGGCAAGGGCTGGGCAGCAGCTGCTAGTACCTTCAGTGGTACCCTTGAAGGCCAGAGAGACAGCATGGCTGGTGCCATATAGTCTTGCTGGCGTAGGAGGCTGGCGGAGGGTGGGAGTGTCATCAGCACAAGGCCCTGGCAGTCCCTTCCGATGATCAGAGGGGGCTGTAAGGGTCCTTTCTCAGGAGCGTTGTGGGGGGCAATAAGAAAAGAAAAAAGTGACATGAGGTGGCCATCTAAACAAGTAGCAAATGTTGAAAAGAGGCACCTTGGAAAAACTTGGCAGAAAGGTAACATTACCAGCAGCAAAAAAAGCCAGGATAAAAATAAGCTGTTTGATCAAATATTGCTGGAAGCCTCCAAATGGGTGCTTGTGTCAATGAGACACTTAGAAGAAGAAATTTTAAGAGGTAGATTGTCTGAAAAAGTGGTGAAAGGTCACATGCCACAATAGGCCTTTGACCTCTGTAAGCTGAGGAAAAGCACTGGCTAAACTAGGGTGTAAAGCCACCTGCCTCCGGCCGCATCGGGCCACTGGTGCTGGGATCAGAGCTGGCTTGTTGGAAGGACTGTGTGCACCAACCTCGTGGTAACAGTGGGTAAGAGACGGGGCCAGAGGAAAGCAGCCTCAGCCTCAGCCCAGATGGTGTGGCCAACCCCTGAGGTCGTGGGGAAGCTTTTTCCTATCACCAATGCCTGCCATGTGCACAGCTCTCTTTTCTCTGCTCTTCATCATTTTCTGCTCTCCTTTCCTCTCCTCTTCTCCATCCTCCTCCCCTTCTCCTTCCCGTCCTCCTCCTTTCTCTACCTGTATCCCCTCTTCTTTATCCCTTCCTTTATTTTGTCCATTACCACTCCTGGAAAAGAGTCAGCACTTAATAAATATTTGTGGAACTGCACTGAATTCTTGCCCCTCTCTTACCCTGCTGTTTTCCCTTTTCCCTTTCCCCTACTTGCCTGATGCCTTCCCCATAGAATTGTGAGCTTTAAGCGTGTTAAGCTATGTAAAGCAGGTAAAATAGGGCCCAGCAATAGTACGTGCTCCTATCTCAGTGTTTGCTCTTCTTTTTCTTCGGCCTGAGACCTGCCAGTGTCCCCAGACGGCCTGCCTAGAACAAATAGTGTAGCATTTAGAATAAAAGGGATTGCTGGCCCTGACCAAGACTTCCTTGGATGAGCTGCTGAACCTCCAAATGTAATTCCACTCCAGTTTCCCGACCACCCAGCTCTCCAAGCTCAAAGTCTCTATCTCGTGCTGTTTCGTTTCCAGAGGCAGGGAAGCAGCAAAGCCCAGAGGCAGGGGTGTGTACAGGTCAGGGGCTGTCCTCTGTGCTGTTAGCTGTGTGCTAGTTCTGCTCCTTCCCTCATTTTGCCTGCCAAGCCCCCTAAACCTAGGGTGCTACAGCCTCTTGGAACCTCAGTTATTTGATAAAGTGTCACCTTCCAAATAAGCCACAAGATGCAAATACCCTAAATAATCTAAAGCGTTCTACTGAAACATGATCCCTTAGGGTTAGCCCTACCTATTTTGACCCCTTTTATATTCAGACTATTTAAACTATCTGCTTGTGTTAAAGTCCAAATTTCTGTTGCTTCTGGCTAGTGATGTGTTTGTTTAGAATCCTTTGTAAACTCCTTATAGTGAGAACTAGTGCAACTTTCCATCTGCTTCTAGGGTCTTGGTGTAATTTTAAATTAACATCACTATGATTTACTATTTCCATTCGAGCAAATTTCCTATAGAGAGTTTCCTTTCTGGGGACTAGACCCATACCAGGAAGTGATTTAGGTATAAAGAGAAGATATGGCTTTTGAAAACCAGTTTGGGTGTTCTCCAAAGAGTCATCAGCTATCTGCTGCTTTTTGCCCAATGATAGCATGCAGATAACTGATGGCTAGCTCCTGGGAATAAGGGAGAGCCACAATTTTCAGTGAGGCGGTGCTCAACAAGCTAGAGACAGACCTTGACCTAATTCACTCCAAAGCTGCCTGGTTATGCAAATAGAGCCATCAGGGGAGGGGGAGAGAGAACTCCTCTGAGGACCCTGAAACAAATGGGCCACGTGTGACTTTCAGTTTCTATGGAGGCTCATGTGCTGGGCCTGAGGGTGTTGGGAGAATATTTGAAACACAAAAGCCTTAATCTCAGGCTTTCCTCCTCACTCTCGGAGAGCCATCGCCATATGCCCTTCGGGTTAACCTCAGCTGAACTACAAGGAGAAGCTCATCTCACTATCTTGGCTCCTGGAAATCAAAATGAACTAGAGTCTATTAGCTCACCCCTACAGATTCTCCTGCAATAAAAACAGAGTAAAAAAAAGCTGATTAGAAATGGAGCAGAAAAGAGACAAAGGTGTGGGGAAAGCAGGCTTTCAAAAACTGCCATTTGGAGTGAAAACTGGTTACAGTGTTTCTGGAAACTATTTTGTCACTATTTTTCAAAATGCAAAATGTACATACTTTTTGAGTTGGCAAATAGTGTTTATATAGAGATTCTAATATCATGGGAAAATAATCAGGAATAAACAAGAACTTTAGATATTTGGGGGGAAATGTATGTTGGGTGGATGGATAAATGGATACTTAGATTGATAATGTTAAGAAAAATAAACTACAAATAGTATGTGCAATATGATCTCAAATATGATAAGAAAAAATGCAGAGAAAAATAATGGAAGGAAATATGCCTAAATATTAATGCCTCTGGATAATGAGCTTATAATTGATATTTTCTTTTTAACACCCCTGTGCCTAAAATATTTTCTATAATGAACATGTGTTATAGTGATATTGAAGGAAAATAAATAAAATGTTTAAACCAGGGAAAACAAAAACTAAACTGAAAAAGGCCAAAGGGGCACACAAGTCCAGAGTGAAAGACACCCCAGCAGTCACCCTCAGGGCCAGAGGGACAATGCTGAAAGTATCACCACCAGTCTGATGCTGAGTGTAAACTTGCAGATTGGCTGTTTGGCTCTCCTTTCATCATTACTTGATGAGAATCTGTTGTCTCTAGTGCAGGGCAAAAGAGATAACGAACCACAGATTCAGAAGTTTCTAAAACCACAGAAGAAAACTGTAAAATGTTAACAATATAAAATGATGAAGATGAACCAGAGTGCTGAGGCTCCTTAGAAATGACTAGAGCAGATGAGAATTTCTCTGGTTAGCTAGCAACCAGACAACTGATTTTGGCTGGAAATCTTCACAAATGTGATCACCTATAGCACTGACCATGAAGCTTATCATCAAATAATTAGGTTTCATAAGGGCCTCAACAGAGCTTCTTGGGAATTTAACAAGAGTAATTATAGCTCTTTGTTGCTATGGTTATGATATTTTAAAGAAGACTTCTCTTCTGGTTCCAAGACTGGAGAATTTTCAATCAGAGTCTCAATCAAAATCTGAGAGATGATTCTTGGGACTGGGAAGAGAATTTATCCTATCAGTTATACTCTAGTCTAATTAGAGACCATTGATAATGCTGCCAGATTTCATAGTAAAGCCTCAGGAAGATAAGGCTAAAAAGGGAACAAGGGGTAACATGAAGTGCATCATCCAACACAAAAGCTGGACCTGGGTTTGCCACTTTGTCTAAGTAGCTGAGAATTCATTCTGAGAGTGGAAAACTATGATCACATGATACAAATATTCATGGTTGTCTTATTTATAATTGAAAACAAACAACCTAAATATCCATCAGTAGGAGAATGGATAAAAAATTGTGATGCATTCATCATATAGAATACTTGATGCATATAAAAATGAATGAAATGTATGAACTAGAGCTACCAAGATAAATAAATCATAAAACGTTACATTGAGAAAAAAATCAAGTTGCTGAAGAGTATGTACCACTTATATTAAAAAGTGAGACATGCAAACCAATACTAAATATATTTTTGTACTTACATATGTAGTAATGTAAAAACATGCCTAGGAATGATAAATGCCAAATTCCAGATATTGGTAACCTCTACGGACGGAGGGGATAAAATTGTAGAGGAGTACACAAGGGAGTTTTGACTGTATTTATTAAAAAAAAAACTACCAGAAACAATATGGCACAATATTAGGATTCTATGGAGCTAAATGGTGAGTACATGAGAGTAATGTTATTCTCTGCACTTTCTGCCTATTTGCAGTATTTCATAATGTAAAAGAAAGTACATTCAACCAAAGTTTTATATGCACAGTAAGCAATAACAACACTAGAATAGAGAGTGGATGTTTCACCTAAAACTTATGCTTTTATCCCATTAATAATGAAAAATCCTGAGGAGAAAAACAGCCAGTGACTCTAGGCATTCACCAGTTAAACAAGATCTCCTTGTAGAGGATTTGAAGGAAAATGTAAGAAAACCTGGTGGGACTGAGAAGAGTCCTCCTGTGGGAAAAAGTAAAATTGTCAGTTGACAAGGACAGATCATCCTTTCCAGCCTAGAGGAATATTGCAGAGAAAAGTGCCCCTGGAACATGAATTCTCTCTTACTTATCCTGTACTTACCACTGTTTCCTCCTTTGCCAAATGTTCTTAGTAGATGGAGAGGGGTCTGTCCCAACTGCTCTTTGATGATAGCCATGGGGAATGACGGCATGCTGAGGTGGATGGCATCACACTTCACTAAAGGCAAAAAAATAATAAATCCCTCTGGGAGGCAATGAGGTACAACAGAAACAGCAAGGGCTGTGGAGTCACAGATGGATGAGGTTGGGCAAGTCACATAACCTCCATGAATCTCACTTTCCTCATCTGCTTTTTGGGGGGAATAAATGAAATAATGCATATAAAATGCCTGATGGATGGAGTGCACTGATAAAAACAAGAATGCCCTCCCATTCCCCTGGGGAGAAAAGGGAACAGCCAGAATTTTCCTGGGCAATTAAATAATGCTTTAGAGGAGAAATGAACAGAGATCCCTGCTTATTGGATATTTAAGCTAAGTAGTTATTTGAACTATGACTGAGTATTTCTAACTAGCATCTTCTGGACCCTTCCCAGTTATAGATAGGCTGTGTCATTTTCTGATTTTTGCTCTGTTGTCGTCCCTAATAGTGTTCGATCTTAGCATGAGCAAAGATAGGAACCAAAGGTGGTTTAGTTCACTGATTTTGCAAGTGCTATTTATATTAGTTCTTTGGCATAGTGCAGTTTGTAAAATGACTGAACTCATACTAATAAACATTCTCTTTTGGAATTCTACTGCACCACAGGGAGCTGGGAGGCTGCAGAGGTGGCCGTGTGAAAATCTTTGCATTTGTAGTTTAAAATCCTAGAGAACATTATAACACTGGAACTCTATATTGTAAATGAAGAGCTTTGTGAGTGTTTCTACTCTTTTTTTCTCCTCCTCTTTCCTTATATGAAGTGTGTGTGTGTGTTTAACATTCATGTCACTTCCGTTTCCACCCCCACCCCCACCACTTGAGTGAGGTGCAGGGTCAGCCCTCCCCATGCATCTTTTGTGGTTGAATTGACTCTCTGGGCTGCTGAAATTGTTAGAAAAAAAATTAGGACCTTCCACAAGTACCCAAAGAAGCTGCAACTACCCTCTACCCAACTTTCAGAAAGACATACAGACAGATGCCTCTCCTTTCACATTAGTGGTGGATGGACCAGTGATGACCAAGGAAGAACTACCACATTTTCAGGCTGTGTGTCTGGAATGGATCACAAGGAATAGAGGCAAAGCAATCAAAGAGGGAGCAACCAGACCATGGAACTCCCAGTAGTCCTCCAGCTCCAAGATCTAGAGGTAGAGGATATTTCACCCCTTGCTCAGAGGGGCGATGGCTAGTGAGAGGCTTACTTACTTCCTCATAATTAGACCAGCACTAAACCTTACCCCAACACAGACACTTGAAAGAGAGGAAGGCTTCCTCTTGACAAACTGGATTTGTTCTAAAAAAGAAAAAGAACAGAGGCAGCTTCCAGAAGGACCTGTCTCATAGGAAATAAGAGCAGAAGCCAAGCCTGAAGCAGATGCTGGATCTGAGTGGGGAGTGTATCCGCCAAGAGTTTGCAACAAAAGTAAAGGTAAAATGATGGCTGCGCTTTACTTATCTAAAAAAGCACAACTGGACATGGATTGTTGGGATGCTTCTGATCCAATTTACTGGTCATGCTACTCAGCTTCTTTAGGGTTTTATTTTGTCTTCTGTAAGTTGAGTCTTTGATTGTGAAGGTGCTTAATTGGAACTCACCTTAGGAACAAATGGGATATTAGTACAGGGATCTTGATGAGTTGGCAGTTCCTGAGAATAGACTATTATTACTTGGTTACCGCTACTTCTGAGTAAATGAAAAATCTTCATGTTAAAAGAAATCTCTTTGGGGTTTGAGCTGAATCTGAATGTTAGATAGGACTCTAGTTGGTTGTAGACTCTTACCAATTTGTCACTCCTGTGAGAGACCATTTAAACCGGGGAGTCAGGGAAGAGAGCCGTGTGGCAGAGTGTGGTGAAAGGTTTGCTCCTTTGCCCAATTTTTCTCAAAAGATCATTTACAAAACATTAAACTAATCCACCACCAGAAAACAGTGGCATCCACATGGTGGATATGTAGCAAAGCAATCATTCTGAACATCCCTGGTGTTCCTTTAACCTATTTTTGTCTCCCCAGTATGATAATAGAATCTTCTACACCACAGGAAAGAGCAAAATAACCTCAGGCTTCAATAAAAACCATTCCCTTGCTTTCCTGGTGTGAGCAATAACCTATGCTTGACAAGTAGAAAAAACTGCAGAGCTATTTATTCTGCTTCGTTGGTGCCACCAAAAGCATAAGGAGTTTAGTTAAAAATAATAATAAACAACCCTACTCCGCTTCAGGAAAAAAACCCGCCTCTAGCAAAACTTGAGGGGGAAGGGACTAGTGATTTTTTTTTTAGTATTCTTTTAGTTTTCCATTTTTGTGGGCAGTATTTATATTTTCACTTTATCTTTCTAATGAAGGTATGGGATTAGTAATATAAGATTGTGCATTTAAGTGAATAACTGATATGAGGTGTGTTTTGTATGAATAAAAAAACAGTGGTGACTTTTTGTAAATTTGTCTTTCTGTATTTCTGTTACCTAAACTGAATCTTTCTGGAGTACTGTAAGTTTGGAGAGGCTAAACAAGTTACTTTTCATAAATGATCAGAGATGGCATCTGTAAGAGTAAGACAGTTGCATCACTTTTGCGTGATGCTGTCCAAAAAAACTAATCTAAGCAAAAAGGAAAGGAAAAGCCATAAAACAAAAATGGCTGCCTCTCAAAAATTGTTTTTCAATTTTAGAACAAGCTTCTATCCTTTGTAGCTCAGCCAGAGGGTGATGGGCAAAATCAGTTGGGTGGCAGTTAGTAGATGTCCATAACTGCAGGTGCAGCCTCCGTATCCTTATTAGACCCCTTGGCTATAGACCCCAGTGAGACAATGTATGAAAAATTACACTTACTGTCTAGGACACTGGGAACTGAAAGTCCAATATCTGCCTCAGTGGAGTTCTGGCACCTGCATTATCCCTTCTGGGGATATCAGGGTCAACAGCAGCACAGAGACTTTTGCTGTTCACAGATTCTGCCTGTATCATAAAAAGATGGTTAGTGTAAAGCTGCCTCTAGACATTACCAAGCACAAGGGTCAGTATCACTTGATATCCATAGCATTCCATTGCCTATACAAGAATCCAATTTATGTGAACTCACAATGTAGAACTAACCACCCCCCAATTCAATGTGCATCTATTATACCTGAAAACTGGCAGAGATAGGGGCTGTGGAAGGGGGGCATCAAGGTAAGAAGAAGGTTCTTTTTTAGATTGGAACGTTTCTATTCCATCTGAAACTAGGTGGCTAGGCTGAGGGGGAACCAGGAGGGATGGGGATCAACCCAGGAGTGCTGGGTCCTCGAGAACTTTCATTGTCAACAGCACACAGTGAGCTCCGGAAAGAAGTTATGGCTGCAGTGATACTGGAGAGCATCTTTCTGAAGCGATCCCAGCAGAAGAAGAAAACCTCACCTTTAAACTTCAAGAAGCGCCTCTTTCTCTTGACCGTGCAAAAACTTTCCTACTATGAGTATGACTTTGAACGTGGGGTAAGTTTCTTTGTGGTGAAACCTGCGTTTTAAAGACCTGGCCTCAGATCTGCCTTGGGGAGGAGGTAGACCCTTTCTGGTTGGAAGAAGGAGGTAGAAGGGACCCAAGTACACTTCAAACTCACCAAAATATTTCCTAGTCTAGAACTAGCTAGTCATACAGGAGCAAAAATTCAAAGGTGCTAGGAAGCCATGGAGGAAATCTTACTACGGATTCTTGCAGTTGGTGAGTACTCATTAAATGATGGATAAGCATGAAATCCAAGACTTGGAAATTGCTTCCTTATTTTTTATGATAAAAAACACAATCATTCACTCTTCTATAGTATTTTCCCTCCATCTGGTAGTCAAAAATGGTTAGATCGATAGATCTGGAAGTTGTTTGGGTTTTTGTTTGTTTGTTTGTTTGTTTCAAAACGATAGGTCCTGCTATAGAGCATGGGTGTCATCTCACAAAGTTAGATAACGAAATCTAATCATCTGGTTGCTTAATAGCTCTTAATCTTTCTCCATTTTCTTCCTCACTGTCTTTCTCAGAGAAGAGGCAGTAAGAAGGGTTCAATAGATGTTGAGAAGATCACCTGCGTGGAAACTGTGGTTCCTGAAAAAAATCCTCCCCCTGAAAGACAGATTCCGGTAAGAAGAGCTGTTGTCAGAGCCAGGGCTGGGTGGGGGCAGTTAAGAAACTTGGAACACTTCAATTCTCTATAAATAAACGGTGATGCTGTGCAGTGTGGAACACAGTAAAGCTCCCTTATAGATTCTTCATTCTGCCACATATTGGTAATACTGAGACTCAGCATTTTTTGTCCAAATGCAGAAAAATTCACTTAACCTGGAAAACTTGTAATACCAATTTTCAGATTATATCATATCAAGTTTTTAGATTGATCAGATCTAAATTGATCAGTTTTACTCCCTCAGTCACCAGGATCAGATTTACAGGCCTGAGTTAGTCTGAAATCTAGAACCCTGGGGTTCTGAGTCATGAGATTCTTTAATAGTTCACTGTTTCTTCTCTCATTTCCAAGAGCCTCTCCAGGGCATAACATCTACTGACTTCATAGCTGATTTTTTTTAATGTCATTTTTCCCTGATGACAAGAGTAATGTGTATTTATCATAGAAACTGTGGAAAATACAAAAAAGCCCAAAAAAGAAGATGAAATCATGCATAATCCCATTATCCAGCAAAAACAACTATTAATATGTTAGTGTATGGACTTAACAGATTTTTTTCTCCATTAACGACACATACACTCACACTAATATATATATTACATATTTAAAACAGTGAATCATACTCCACATCTTGCTTTGCCACCTATGTTTTCAATTTAACAATATATGAAAAAATTTCCCCATGACAATTGATACTCTTTAATAATATGATTTTGATGACTGTATAGTATTCCCTATCATGGATATATTGTAATTTGTTTAACCAATCTCCTATCAACACATCTGTCTGCAGTGATTTGATATCATAAACTATGTTGATAGGAACATCTTTGCATACATCTTTATTCTTTTCCTTATAATAACTTCCTAGGAGTAATTTTTGTTGTTTTCTTTATCAAATCTGTGCGCTTAGTTATTTTTCTATTTTTATTGTTTTATTTTGTAGAAGTAGAATTTGAATATCATCCACTCCTACAAGCTGTGCATGAGAGTATTTCTGTACATTCTTTTCAACACCAGATATTTTAAATACTTATTAATTTAAAAGTGAAGAAAAATGTATTTTATTGCCGACTTATTTTGCAAATTTTTTGCTACTCATAAGGTTGAACAGTTATACATCTGCAGCTCATTTATATTTTTCCATTTGTGAATTACTTGTTAAGTTTTTGGCCCATTTTTCTATTGAAATTTTTACATTATTCCTAGAACTTTTAAAGAGATCTAGATATATTTACTTTATAATATATGTTAAAATATTTTCACAGTTTTTCATTTATCTTTGAATTTTGTTTATGGTGTTTTTTTTAACCATACTAGGTTTTAAAGCCTATGTTGTCAAATTAGTTCATCTTTTTCTTTATGGTTCTAGGGTCTTGGAAAGACTTTGTCTGTCACAAAATTATATAATCACTTACAGTTTTTTTCTATTATTCATAGCTTCATTTTTCTTTAAAATAAAAAGGTCTTGAATCCATCCACAATTTATTTGGGTGTGTGACGTGAAATAGCTACCGTAACTACCCACCCACTCCCACCCTTGACAATATTAGTGGTTAGATGTTTATTTCAGCACCATTTATTGAGTAACCTCCCTTTCCTCAGTAATTTGCGATGTCTGAGGGGTTTTTTGAACAAGTATGTGTAAGATTCTATGGATGTGTGTCCCTACTGGGATACAGGAAGCAATATCTAAAGATTAGCATTGTCTGTGCAGGAGAACCTTCTGGAGCCACTGCAAATGATTCCCAGCACCCAGGGAAATCCAGAAGAGAATCGCATCAACCAATAACTATGATTTCTTCTTTCATTGCAGAGAAGGGGTGAAGAGTCTGGTGAAATGGAGCAGATTTCAATTATTGAAAGGTTCCCTTATCCCTTCCAGGTAAGGTGTTTTCTCAGTAGTTCTCAAAGTTATCTATAACATAATTGTTAGGGCTGGCATGGGTTGAGAGTGTTTGCTTTTCTATTTTCCAATCAAACATAGTTTCTTTTAGTCTCTACACCTCAAAGAGAATCCATAATGGCACTAATTCTATTACAGTGTGTCTTGTCTATGGTAAATGCATTGAGAAAGATGCTCTGTTTGTTGAGTGAACATTTCACTTCCTTCTGGTTCTGCCTATCTGTCTAACGGTGGTCATGTGGGGTGAAAAGACAGAAAAGGGGAGGGAAGGAGTAGTATTAGGAAGTTCACTATGGGGAAGACTTATTAGACTTACACATAAACTTAAATTCTATTCTAGTCTGGAATAATTGAAGAACCACACAGACATCTGTTTGGTTGATGAAACGTAAGCCATAAGGGAGAACAAGAGCTTCAGATTTGAACTTCAGTTTGGTTTGCTTATGTCCTGAGAACTCTGTAGGCCACATTTCATGAATATAGCAGCCTCTGCAACAGTGAAAGCCAGAAAAGGAAGTGGAAAGTCTCAGGGGAGGGGGCTTTCTGTCATGGATTTATGAGCACAGTAAGACCAACAAGCAAAAAGAAAAATGTAAAAGGATCCTGTTCATGTCCCTAACTGTATCAAAGTTTATAAAACCTGTGAAGGAGGGGTGTTTTAGACATAGTTTTTACCACCATTGTCTTTCAACAAGTTGATGTTGTTTGGCTGGGCTAGTGCATAATGCTAAACAGCAGATAATTCAAAATTAATTTACATTTGATTTTAGAATCCATTATGTGATGTTTATTAAGCCTGTGAGGGTTGGAACCACATCTTATATGTTTTGTACATCTCCATCACACCTAGTACAATGCATTGTACACATGTGGTGTTCAAAAAATACTGATTGATTTGATGATAATGCTTAATATATACTTCACTCTTTTTGAAGTAGTTCCAAACTTGGTTTATTTTGGCTAATGTTGGCAAAGGGAGGCCACTAGACAGTGTGAGGGGGAAATGATCCATGAGTTAAAATTTTGCTCCATATTGATGAAGTGTATAATCCACGTGTCCTATTCAAGACTTGTTACATAAATCATTATTTCAATTATCCTCTATACAAACTTAAGGTTTAATAAGATCATAAAATATCCTTCACTGAATAAACACAAAACTGTTTCCACCAAAGGCTGAAGATTACGAACTAAGTTTACACACGAATTGAAACACAAGTCAAGAGGACCTAGAGTATTTTAAAAATCTAAGATTTTCTAAGTCCTACATCCCTGGTTATAAATTCTTCAGGAATTCTTCAGATGGTTCACATGACCCCAGCCCCACTGCTCACTGAAGATCATTCCTTTTTGTTTGTTTGTTTGTTTTCTGCTATCAATATACAAAGTTGTAGCTTAATGTTAGTTCCTTCAAGGTCTTCATACTTTTCTCTGACTCCTAACTGCTGAAGTCTGTGTGTCCATTGCCTCAGGTTGTATATGACGAAGGGCCTCTCTATGTCTTCTCCCCAACTGAAGAACTGAGGAAGCGTTGGATTCACCAGCTCAAAAATGGTGAGAATTATTTGGAAAATAAACTAGTTTCCAAAGAAAGAAGGAAAGGAAGAAAGGGAGGAAGGAAAGAGAGAAATTGGCAGAGAGGGAGGAAAGAGAGAGAAAAAAGTGGGAAAGAAAGAAAAGAAATGAAAGAAAGAAAGGGAAAGAGAGAAGGGCAGGGAGGGAAGGAGAAAGGGAAAGAGGGAGGAAGGGAGAGAGGAACAAAGAATGGATGGAAGGAGGGAGGTGAAAGAAAGAAGAAAGGGAGAAGGGAAGGAGGGAGAGAGGAAGGAGGAGAGAGAACTGGGAGGGGCAAGAAATATTCCATTTTCTTCCATATTAGTAATACAATTGAGTTTAATATTCCATACTATGAATAAAAGATCATGTGCCAGACTAGGAGTTTGAACCCAGTTCTACCACTATCTCTACAGTGCAATTTTGCAATTGTAGGCCCCTCCAGTTCCCTATTTATTAAAAAAAAAGTCCCATTCTTTACACCAATTACAAGGTTGGAGTGGTATGGTATTCAATGGTTATTTCAATATTTTGAATCCTAGGTATGAAATATCTGGTTCCCCTAAATTAAATAAATCATTATGAGAGTGCTTGGGATCAGAGTAAAGAACTGGTTCCAAGCCCTCTTCTACCACTAATAAACTGGGTGACCTCTGGTAAGTAGGCCAACAAGCTTCTTTGAGG